ACAGGTCAATTGGTTTGTTAATGGTCCAATACGTCACATATCCATACACTTCCTCAACGAGCTGAGGGCATGTTTAAGTGCTGCAACTTTTGACAAGAAAAACAAAGCCCAGTTTTGGCTTTTCTTTTGGGATTCACTTGACGAAAAGAATAAAATGGTAATGGAGGTCTGCAAGTGGTGGCTTTGAGCACTCGAAGCTTGACATCAAGCAACTGCTCCTATTATTAGGTAAACACGAATTCTTGTTGTATAGTGTCGGGCTAATTTTCTTTGTGTGCTCACTTGTGGCTGCTTCTAGGGTTTCTATTGACGCAAGCAATTCGAGTGAGTTTTCTGAAAAATGGGTTTTATTTTGCTAAGTTGATTTACAAATGTATTCATATCGGTCATGATTAATAGTCTGGCTATTGCCGTTTTGTTTACGTCGCCATGGTCTATGTTTGCTTAGTTTTCGTGTGAAGTAAGCATAAGCTAAGTTGCCTTTACAGGGTTCAATGTAAATCAGTTCCTTCCTAGTTAAGGTAAGCCATAGACTCCTTCATTGATATGCATGCTATGATGTTGTGACTTTTGCCATGTCATTAATGTTCTTGTTATTGTCTTGGCTCTGGATCCCACTCTAATAGCTCCGATGTATCATATATGTTTTGTAGACTTTCTATTGGTAGTTCGATCTGCAAGTGTGAGTTTTGTAAAATTCTGAGTATTTTTCGTGTTAAGTACTTTTTAAGGTAGATTTTGACTTGATACATGTTGCCCAAGTCTTCTTGCTGGTGATGCCGATTAGTTGACTTAACGTCGCGGGGTCAATTGAATCTGTTCAATTAATTGGTTGGCTTCGTTGAGATATTTGGGAACTGCGAAAGATATTTCAGTAGTTTACTAGACAATTACGTAAAATCTTCTATATCCCCCTTCCCTCCTCTCTCTTCCCCAACTAAATCGTAAGAAGACACACAAAAATTGATCGCTTTGTTTACAGGCTTTGTGTAGGTAGGGCGAATGGAATGCAATAAAGATGAGGCTACAAGGGCCAAAGAAATTTCTGAGACAAAGTTCATAGCAAGGGACATGGCAGGGGCAAAAAAGTTTGCTTTGAAGGCCCGAAGTCTTTATCCAGGACTCGAAGGCATGACCCAAATGTTAGCGACGCTTGATGTGTATGTTTCCGCAGAGAACAAAGTCAATGGGGAGCCAGATTGGTACGGTGTGCTCGGTGTGGTTCCGACAGCTGATGAAGAGACAGTGAGGAGACAATATAGGAAGCTTGCTCTCATGCTGCATCCTGATAAGAACAAGTCTATTGGAGCAGAAGGGGCTTTTAAACTGATATCACAGGCCTGGAGTTTGCTATCAGATAAGGTTAGGAGGGTAGCATATGACCAGAAGAGATTTGCAAAAACCTTCCAAAAGGTTCCTAAATCGACCGGAGCTTCATCAGCAACTCCAAGGGCCAATAGTTTTTACAATTTCGATAAGACCACGAATACAACTGCTACGACGAATACATCTGCTAAGAGTCATAGGACTACGGATCGAGCACGGCACTCTTCCCAGAAGACAAAGCCAAATACGTTTTGGACAGTTTGTCACCGCTGCAAAATGCAATACGAGTATCTCAGAGTTTATCTCAATCACAACCTGCTATGTCCCAACTGCCAGAAGCCCTTTTTTGCAATAGAAATAGCTCCACCACCATCTGATGGAACTACGTCGTCGACACCCTGGAACTTTTCCCAGCAGCAGCAGTCCTCAAATCAAGTGAGTAGCAAGGACACAATGAACTCAGGCAGGAGTAATGCGCCTTCTTCCGGTACTGGAGTGGGGGGATTCAGTGGTCATGATTCATACATGCAAAACAACGCCCACTGGAGTCCATTCTCAAGAACAAGTAGTGCTTCAACCGCTGCCCAAGCTGCGAGTGTGGTGCAACAGGCATATGAGAAAGTGAAGAGAGAGCGAGAGGAGGCTCAGGCAGCAACAAAAAGAGAAGAGGCTCTTCGGAGGAAGCAAGTCTCCAGAAAGAACAGCGGCATGTCATCGACTGGTTACACTGGTGCTGTAAAGAGAAGAAAAGGTATGGATGATCTCGGTGGCAGCAACCATGGGAGGGACGTTACCAATCAAATGGGAATGGCAATTGGTGGTGCGGGTGCACCTTTTTCCAAACAAGCAAACTTTGGAGCAGTTTCTGTTAATGGCTTTACAAGGCCTAATGCTACAAGGGAAATGACTGAGCTTCAAGTTCACAAAATACTGATTATGAAGGCCCGGAGAGAAATTCAGAAGAACATAGATTCGGCAACTATAGCTAAAACTGCAGGCAAGGGGGAGAGGAACGGGAATGATGATAAAACTAGTGAGTCAGTGGGAAAAGTTCCTGTAGATGGCGGCACTAATGATAAAACCAAGTCGAGAGAGTCTGTGGATCCAAAGAAAGAATATTCTGCCGCTAAGTCCTTCCCAGGCATTCCAAGTACAGATGGTGGAACTTCGCAGACGCTGTCAATGACTGTCCTGGATCCAGATTTCCATGATTTCGATAAAGACCGGACAGAAAAATCATTTAGAGAAAACCATGTTTGGGCAGTGTATGACGATGATGATGGGATGCCTAGATTTTATGCCCTGATTCAGAAAGTGATTTCCTTAAATCCATTCAAGATGCGCATTAGCTGGCTTAATTCCAAGACTAACAGTGAATTAGGCCCCTTAAATTGGGTTGCTTCTGGTTTCTCAAAAACTTGTGGAGATTTCAGAGTGGGAAAATATGAGATTCATGACTCGCCCAATGCCTTCTCTCACAAGGTCCGGTGGACCAAAGGTGTGCGTGGTGTTATACGCATATTTCCAAGAAAGGGTGATGTTTGGGCTCTCTATAGAAATTGGTCCCCTAATTGGAACGAGCTGACTGCAGATGAGATAATACATAAGTATGACATGGTGGAGGTGCTAGAAGACTATGATGAAGAACAAGGCGTACTTGTCATCCCATTGGTGAAAGTTGCCGGATTCAGGGCAGTGTTTCACCGGCATCTGGACCTCAGGGAAATCAGAAGGATTCCGAGAGAAGAGATGTTCCGATTTTCACATCAGGTTCCCTCATACATGCTTACTGGTCACGAAGCTCCCAATGCTCCCAAGGGATGCCTTGAACTGGACCCTGCTGCCACCCCCTTGGACCTTCTTCAGGTTATAGCAGATGTTAAAGCGGAGGAGATTGAAGAGAATGATGAAACAGAAACTTTTCATACCAAGACATCTGAGGCTGAAATAACTGTTGAACCTGTTCTAAGTGCTGTGGATGCTCAGGATATAGCAAATATGGAGATTTGACGGAGCACCTGACAAGTGGCAGAAAGACTTGCTTGTTTTTTCTATGAACCAGGTGCCAGGGCGCTGTATTGTTTGGTCTGATGTGCATACAAAGTAAGTGCTAAATCGAGCTACTTGCTTCCTTGACCAACTACAAGCAAGAACTACCGTAACTGACTGCAGTTGCACCTGGAGGTGCACAACTGTCTTGTAATGAGCCCAGCTCCTAAACTATGAGCCACTTGGTTTTAGTTTAGTTGGGGTCATCTGTGTCCGTTCACTTACTCATGGAAGCTCAGTGGTAGGTGCTTTTTTCTCAAATTCAGTTTTTCGGAACAAAGTAAGATTGATATCTTCCTTCAAAGCCTTTATATTTCAGCAGGCTCTAGTTGGAGCTGATCCTTGACTCTAGTTGTTTACAATGCATGTATACATCTCCTCAACAAGCCAAGTGTATCTAAATTTTCCCCCCTTTTTTGGGATAGGTAAGATAGGGGAGGGGAAAGAGACGAATTGAACTCTTGAGATCTCTTGGATCTTGGTAAGGTGGACCAAGAATAGGCCAAGCTATTGTTCCTGTGTATTTTAGAGATGTTGTGACTTCAAAAAAAAAATGTAGTCAACGAGGCGTCAATGTCATGTCTGAATGCTGATTATTTATGTCTCTACTGTTAGAGAATGTGGAATTTGTTTCATTCGTTTCTGTTTTGCATCAACAAGAGAACATCTCAATGGGACAGCAATTTCTCTTACTTCTCATGTACAGTCTCTTCTTCCGAAAGCCTTTGAACTATGACTACATATACTTGCATTTATGATATGGCAGTGGTTCAGTTGTTGGCTTCTGATGTTTTTTCTTGGTAAAAGATGCATCGCCTTTTGATGATAGTTTAATGGTTGGATTGAGACTGACCAGTAGGGCGGAGTAGCAGCAGCTATGGCAGTCATTCTTGAAATATTGTTGGCCTAGTTAGAACTGAAGTTGGCATGCGAGGTTTGATGCTGAACGTTGTGTAAATTTTTTTCCCGGGCCACATTCATGCGTCTTGCTAATTGGAATGTGGCCAGGCTTGAAAAAAAACTTAGCCAAGAGGTGCTGCGCCATAAACCACTACCAAGGAAGGAAAGGACTCTTTATGATGAACGACACCTTAACTGCATAAACTAGACCCATTAAAAATGACCACTTGGTTTTGTGTTCCTCCAGTTCATCTGTTACCGATAGTGATTCTTCCGTCGTCCTAACTTGATTACATGACGGCTAAGAAAGATAATGCTACTTTTGGGGTGGTTGGAAGGAACTGCTATCGATATCCTCTGACAATCTTCTGGGAGGAAGAATTCAGAGACACTTTGGGTCTCTCTGAACTTCTGCCTCGCATCAACATGCTTGGGTCGCCATGTGCGTATCGGACTTGTTCCTATTTTTTGTGAGCTCAAAAGTGTGGAGATCAATGGATTGCGGAGTAAGTTTGAGCTAGCTCTGATGCTGACTGTCGTCACCAATTTCCCCAATTTTAATCGCCTTTATCATTTACTTTGCGGCTTTAACAAGCAATCTGCTAATGGAACTATGCTGGACAAAAACTAGCCATTCGATCTTGTTGGAACCTAGATGAAAATGAGTTTCTTCCCCCATTGTTTGCAGAAGCGAGTAATGCAGTTCGCCGGCTCAGTAGTATTCCTTCGAGTGGAAAGAAAGAACTCAAATTCAGACTGGAATTAAAATTGGTAGCTTGCTCGCTTCAGAAAAGTAAAATTCTTTATCCTCTCCCAACTCCATATGCTTTGTTTCTGGAGCCCAACCTAGGCTTTGAATCGAACAAATAGTACATGAGTGCTTTGCCATCTCCTTCGGTGAGGCTATACCCAGCTTCTTTCCTCACTCCCCTGTCGCCCATGGATTTCCTCACCTTCTCGACGCCATCCCACTCCCCTTTCAAAGCGTAGAGGTTAGAAAGCAAAATGTAGTCACCGCTCTGGTCATGTCTCATAGACAGCAGCTTCTCGTTTGCAAGTTTTCCTAACTCAACGTTTCCATGAACTCTACAAGCCCCTAGCAGAGTCCTCCAAATGATGGCATTAGGTGCTATCTCCATTGATTGAATGAACTCGAATGCTTCGTCCAGTAGCCCAGCACGTCCTAGCATATCCACCATACACCCACAGTGCCTTGTGTTTGGCTCAATATTGTATCTATCTCTCATCATATTGAAATATCGACGACCCTCTTCAACTTTGCCAGCATGACTACATGCAACTAGAACTCCGACCATGGTTATCTCGTTCGGCTTGATTTCCAACCTCTGCATCTCCCTAAACAGATTAATAGAATTCTCGGCATGGCCATGAAAAGCCAAACCTCCTATAATCGAATTCCATGACGATACGTCTTTTTCTCTCATGCTATGGAATACTGCAAACGCCCTTTCGATGCTACCACACTTGGCATACATGTCTATGAGTGCGTTTTCAAGTAGCACACCCAAATCTCCTAAACACAACTCCAAAAGCGAATGGTGCATCTTTTGCCCAACCTCCAAATCTCCCATTTCTGCACAAGCAGACAACAGGCTCAACATTGTCACTTCATCCGGCTTCTCTCCCACTCTTCTCATCTCCTCAAACATCCCCAACGCCTGCTCATTACCCCCACAAAGCACGTAACCAGCGATCATCGCATTCCACGTCACGACATCCCTCTCCGGAGCCTGGTCAAAAAGCTTCCTCGCAGTTTCCATCTCCCCTCTCTTTGCATAGCCCGTAATCATCACGTTCCAAGAAACCAGATCCTTCACAGGCATATCATCAAATAGCTGCCGAGCGACACGTAGCTCCCCTCTCCTAGCATACCCGGCTGTCAGTGCCGACCAGGCCACGACATCCCTCTTCGCCGAGCCCTCAAAGTAATATCTCGCGATGCCCAGTGCGCCACAGTTAGCATGAAAATAGATAAGGGTGTTCCTCACGAACGTGTTAGACTCAAAACCAAACTTAATAATCCTCCCATGGATGCCGAAACCCGTCTTGACACGAGAAAGCTTAGTGCAAGCCTTGAGCACAAACGGGAACGTGAAATCATCCGGCTTCACGAACCGGCCCTCCATCTGGGAATAGAGGCGGACGGCATCGGAAGGGTTTAGGCTCTGAGCCGCGCCTCTTATCACGGTGTTCCACATGAAGAGATCCGGTTCAGCAATTTGAGCGAACACCCGGAGGGCATAGCCGATGGTGCCCGAGACGGCGATCGCGCCGGCGAAGACGAGCTCCCGCAGAGCCGCGCGGTTCGAATTGAAGCCTCTGACGACGAGGGAAGCCTGGATCTGCTTCAACGCGCGGAGGTCCGTGCAGTTTCGCCACAGGCTCGACCGTTGGTGGCGGTTGGAGCTCCGGTCGTTGGTTCTTTTCCTGATCATTACATGAAGCACTCCCCTGTGTTTGTTCTGACAAGAACAGAGTTCGCTTCTTCACTGTCCCGTTTCTTTAAACGGAAAGCATCCATATCACTGATTCAATCGACAAGAATTGCTTGCCACCAAGAATTAAAAATAATTAATCAAATAAAAAAATGCGTATTTTTTTATCGTATTATGTGTAATCGATAAGCCAACTTATATGCATCCAAATTTGAAGAAATTATTACTTCTAAACATATATGAAGTCGGGCCAAATCGCGTAATTTTCGGTATAATTCGACTAGGTACCGAGGCGAACCAATTCTAATTTCGTGGTAATTCACTTGAAATACCTTGAATCAAATTATGAAATAATTGATGGGCATTCCAAGTAGAATCAAACGGCGAATTCACTACTGCAATTGGAATCGAAAAGATAATTCGTGATAAAATTAGTCCATTCCAAAGGAGCACACATGACGATCTGATCTTCCAATATAATAAAGGGTAATCACGCTAGTAGTTCTTGAACTTTTGCTTCCTATTTAATGTCATCTCTAAACTATTTTTTTTTGTCAATGTTGTCTCTAAAATTTGAAATAAAGTGGTTTATTGTGGTCCTTCCGTTAAAATCATTGACGCAATATATTGATGCAGACTAAATATTTCAAGACTTATCTTTGTTTTTGTTTCATTCCAGACTTTATTTAATTGTCTAGTTTAGTCCCTAAAGTGTTTTTTTATTCTCTCAATTGCACCGAGTAAAATTTAGGTTTAACCCACAAAAAAAAAGTTTAAAAATTAGGTTACAACATCACACCCAAATGTAACCCCTTATTTAATAAGATTACACAACACAAAACATTTAAGATATGAATATATACAAATGTTTACTTGTGTTTACATGTTGTAATCATTTATAGACAAACATGTCATGTTAACACAAAGAACATTTTAAATTACTTAAGTACACGAGTTCAAACGCGTCATAAATAAGTACAAAATCGATTCATACCCGATATATTTATTATTCGTTAGGATTAAGTTTACACGAGCAATAAATTCGTGCAGTGTGTTTGCTCTGTCAATTGAGTTGTGTCGAAAATTACTAGTCTTACTTAAGGGTTATCGAGGTTTATCAAATCTTATAGATCATTTGATGACTCTCGTCATTCTCAAAACGAAGGCCATAAGAGAGAGAGGGAGCCAAAACATAATAGTTTAATGATGAAATTGAACAAACAAATAAAGTTCAAACTTTAATGGCCACATTGAATGAAATTAGAAAGATCACAATAATACTTGTAGTGTGCATGTCTTGTTAATGAATTGTGTCGATAATTGCTAGAGGTATGATCAGAGGCTGAGCATCAAGCATTTCGTCAAAGAGACCATCTCAGGAGGCTCTAACATCCCGGTTCTGTGCATCACAATCCCTCACCAGAGATTGAAAATGAGGTTACACCCACTGCACTCTTTTGCATATTTCAACACTCCAGTCAGCTGATATCAATGAACATTCAAACCCAGTGAAATCACCAAACAACATGGAGACTTCAAGAGGGCAAGATTATGAAATGAACACGATCCTGAGATATATCTTCTCATCCCTCACCAGAAACTGAAAATGGGGTTAAACCCATTACACCTGTTGCAGATTTCATGACTCCAATCAGCTGATATCAATCAGATTCGTATTCAGCGAATCACCCAAAGAACATGGAGACTTCAAGAAGGCAAGATTATGGGATAAACACGATCCTGTTCGATCTTCTCATCCCTCACCAGAAACTGAAAATGGGGTTCAACCCATTACACTCTCTGCAGATTTCAAGACTCCAATCAGCCGATATCAATCCGGTTCGAAGTGAAACACCAAAGAACATGAAGACTTAAAGAAGGCAAGATCATGAGATAATCATGATCCTGAATCGATCTTGTCATTCCTAACTAGAGATCGGACACGAGGTTGAACCCATTACAGCCTGCTGATTTCACCACTCCAATCGGCTGATATCAATCGGATTTAAGCCCAAGGAATCACCAAAGAACATGAAGACTTAAAAGAAGGCAAGATCAAGAGATGAACGTGACCTTAATCTCATTCAAAACTTCATTTTCTTATACATAAAACGACACAAACTGCAAAATTATGAGCCCAAAAAAGTTACGCTGGAAAAAAGAACACAGAAAGCATCACTTCTTGACCATCTCGTCAGGGACGACCTTGAGCAGCTTCCTCTGCTTCGACTTGGCGAGCTTCTTCAGCGTCTTCGGGTTGGTGATCTTCTGGAGCTTCGTCCCCGACCTCAGTATGTTCTCCTTCTTCTTCTTCTCCCTCTCCTCCCTCTTCCTCCTCTTCTCCGCCTTGTTCGCCCTTATCGTCTCCTTCAGCTCCGCCATCCTCTCCCTGTACGCCCTCTTTATCTCCTTCTGCCTCTCCCTCTCCTCGAAGCTCGTCCCCTTCACGCTCGCCCGCGCCGCCGACGCCCGCTGCCTCCGCGGCTGCTTCCACTTCCGCCCCGACACCCTCCCCGCGATCACCCCGTCGTAGGTCGGCCCCCCGAAGGAGAACGCCGGGGCGGCGGTCGGCCGGTCGGGGTCCTCCAGCGAGGGGATCGCCGTCCGCTTCGACGGCGGGGGGCGGGCCTCGTCGATCTCCATGGCGGCGCCGTCATCGGCGGCCGCGGCGGAGGATTGGGACTCGCGCTTGCGCTTGTAGGTCTTGCCGCCGAAGCCCTCGTCGAGCGAGCGAAAGTCGATCGTGCACGCCATGGGAGAAGAAGAAGAAGGAGGCTTCGAGGTAGAGAGTCAAAACCCTAGCGATTGCTGTTGGGGGTGGGTTTTCTAGGGTTTAGAGATGTGCCGCTTTTTTTTTTATCAAAGAAATTGCAAATTGGCCCTTGAAGTTTTGATTTATTTCGATTTGGCCAAGATGCTGATAAATTATTGAGATAAGTGCATTGAAAGTCCTAAAAATTGTCAGGAAAGTACAATTAAGTCCCCAAACTTTTAAAAAGTGCAAACGAGTCCTCACAAGTCAAAAGTTGTCATGAATGTGCAATCGAAAGACTTGACTGGATAAATTTGACAAGTTTTAGGGCTCAAGTGCGCTTTCGTGATAAGTTTTAGGATTTTCAATGCATTTATCCTGAGTTATTAATAGGATTAATGCAAATCATACTGTGAGTTGTTGATACTTTCAAAGGGCTAATTTTTTTAAAAAAATTTCAAAATTTTGTGCCTCACCATTTTGCTGTTATTTGATACGAAACACCTCAATTTAGAATTTCAAACATTATTATACATAAATTAACGATATACACCAAAATTCAATTATTTTTTCCAATTTAAAATTTAGAGGGAAATCTTATAAATATAATTGATGAGTGATTTTTTGCCCCCTCCAAAATTAGCCTTTAGTTCAATCCATAAAATCTATTTTTTCATGAATAAACTCGATTATCAATAGAACTCAAGAAATAAGTGAGATCACATCTAACGGCTATATATACTTATACTGTATCCATATGTAGATTGATATTTCGCCATTTTCCTATAACCATGATATTTGGAATTGCGAAGTGAATAGAAGTAAGGCAAGGAGTGACACGGTTATGACTTCAGAGAAGCAATCGCTTCTTTTTTTGAGCGAAAAAACTTTCCACGAATTAATTTTTTGAACTTGCACACTTTTTGATTTTCCGAAGATGATTAGTCAACGGAAAATCATTTACTGTCAAAGAAAATATGAATGCTTAAAGTTAGAAAAATGAATTCCTAACCCGAAAAGGGAAAATATTAACCTAAAAAATGATTTCCCGAAAGATATTAAGTTTTCCCCGAAACAAACAAGCCCTTAATCATCCCGACCCACCTTTGTCTTCTTCTTCCTAATTCTTTCTAAGATGTTTCCCGAAGAAAATTATCTTCTCCATGTCACATCACCACCTTGCTTTGCCACACCTCCCCACACGAGACCTCGGACGAAACAAATTTTGCCCGGGGAGAATCTCTATTCATTCATAGCCTCTGCTTTTCTGTCACATGGCTTTAGGCTGTAGGCTTTTCGAAGTCCGAGTTTATGGGTAGCTTTTGGCTTTTCTTCTTGATTGAACAATCTGGAAAAGATAGTAATGAGTCTTTGACATTTCTGCATTTGAAAGATGATTTCTCCGTCCTAGCCTTAGAAATTCAAGATACACATTCGATACCATTTCAAGCCGTCGATGTTTCATACCAGCGTATCAGTTGCTTCCTTTGGAGACGGGCATATCGACTTTTGAGAATCCACCCCAGAAGAAGAGCGTGCATGCATGTAAAGGTTAGTACCCAACGGCTTCTATACACTTTTGGTCCCCAACTTATTCTCGCACTTGAACCCTTTCGTTTTTCTTTTTTTGGCAGTTAAACCCACTAAAGCAGCGGACTAGTAAGGATGGCAACAACTCTCTCTCTCTCTCTCACACGCAGGTCATGCAAGGGCCCGCCGGAGTTGCCAAACCTTCGGTGGCAGCCGGGTCACGGCAGTTTCCCTCTCACAAAATTTCTAACCATTCAGCTTTTGAGATGCGAACTTGGCGCCGCGTGTCAATTTTCGCCACATCAACAATGCCGCGTCACCGATTCGATGGTGTTAATAATCAGACGCTGCATAAATTTAAGGAATCAAAGAATTGGACTGTGAAAACGATGACCCAATTACACAAACAACACAAGTTAGGGGACCAAGAGTGTGCTTGAACCATTAGCGCAGCACAGCTATCAAAATCACACTCTGCTTTAGCTAGGCAGCTACCAAGCATACTGACTCCCAATCCCATGCCTCCAAATTTTCACAGTTCACAAGAGGTCTCAGTACAGCTACTAGAGAACACATAGCCATCACATTCCCCAGCATCCTCAAGACCTTAAGTAAAAGGAAAAATGCATCTCACAACACAAGCACATGAACTGGGAGCACAAATGAAACAACAAACAAACTGAAAAGAAAAGGGAGAGCAAATTTCTATCTTTGAAACTGGAAACTTTAGAACATCATCTTGCTCTCTAGAAGCATGTTCATGGAAGTACATCCCATTTAGGTAAGTAAGTAATTCAACCTCGAAATGCAACATTAAACTAGCTAACCTAATTTCTGCTTCAGCATACCAGAGGAGGCAGCATTTACAATTAAAAAGACTAAATAGCTCAACGGAAACTAGGGTTAGCGCCGGCTTCGCTTCAGTTAATCTAGTCTCCTCAAGTCACACCATCCCATGGAAGCCAGCTGAATCTAAGAGGACTGCCTTGATCTGTTCTGGGAGGACATCTTGACCTTCCCTACATTGCTGAGACATGAAACGAACCGAAATCGAAGAAATGATTAATAGACGGCGAGTGAAAAAGAAGGCAAGCATGAGCCATGTTTCTTCACTTATGTTGGTGCATTTCAAGGATTTTGTTGGAATATGCATATGGTTTGGTATTGTCTTGTTAATGAGAACAGATTGACAGATTGCCAAATGGAGATGCATAGATGGTAGTATCTTTAAAGATGTCACGACAATATTTTCACTTAATACGTTACAGCCGTATCGTTCTAATTAATGCTAATACGAGTTATTGTTTATTGTGCTTTTCTTCGGTATTCTCTTGCATCATGCACTTCATAATGTGCATCATCTTCATTTATGTTTCAGTTAGCCATCTCAACGCTGGCTTGTCAGCAAGAACGAAAGGTGCATGGCAGCAGAACACGAGTTCAGTACCTCTAGCAAAAGGTAGTATAGCATAGTTTGCGTGCTGAGTCAAACTATGCGTAGGACAAGGAGAAAGAAAATGAAACGCACCTCAGCTCGGAAAACATCCAAAGCGAATCCGTTGAAACAGCTGATGACAGCCTGTTGAATGTCCAACCCAAGGTTGTCTAGAGCCCTCATGGTGGAGAGCAAGAGCCCCGGTCTGCGTGCACAAAACATGTGGATGTTCACTGCTCTCCCTTCCCTCACTCTAACCTCGACCTGCAAAAAGTAAAACAGGGTGCTTATGCACAGATTAGAATGTACTTGGAATACGTAAAAGAAATGATTCGATTGATGTAAATAATAATTTGGTTGTAGAAAAGGAGGACGTATTACTTTGTGAATCCAAGGCTAGATTAAGGCCCTAATGCTAGTTAAATGCTTTAAAGTAGATCATAACATTTAACACCCAAATCTGTGCATTCTTGTTTTGAATTCAACTACAAAGGAAGAAACTACATAAGCAAAAGGATTTTGGTGCTATAAGATAAATAAAAGAAATGATCGTTAGACCGATCTCGGATGTCTAATCTCTTATAAACCATTTGAAAGCAGGTTCAAAATTTGGAGAAGAGAATGAAATCAACATTTGATTGGCGAGACAAATTAAAGTTTCTCACAAAAATCGAATGACTATTAGTATGCCTAACTTGAGCACTGAAGCCATCAACGAATTAGTATACCCTGCAACTTGAGTCAATTGCAAGAACCACTTTAATTGCTATTTTCCGTACCTCCTTAATGTAAAGGAGAACATAATTTCGTGATGGTAATTATATTTCATAAATTCACTCCATTGAAACCTGAAGTTTCCATGAATGCACCAAACACCTAAGGCTCGAAATTTTCTAGAAAGTTTAGTGCACGATACAACTGAAGTAACATGTCAAGATTAACAGCGAGCATAATCAGATGATAGAAATTTACTCTTGCAGGCTGGCCCTTAGGACTTGGCAAGGAGCTCGGGCACAGTTCTTCCTTCACACGGCAAGGAAGGGTGGGCGGAGTCGGTGTCAACGGATGAAAATTTGTCGAAGGAGGCAACATGGATCCAGGCGGGGTCGATTCTAGCTCGTTATGGAGGTCATTGATCCTCTGCAGAAGCTCCTTCAAGTAGTCAATGGCATCCCCCAGAATTGAAGCTCTATCCATCTGCCAGGCATAATTCAGAACATCAGAAGTTACGATGACAGAGTGTTAGAAAGCAAACGATTAGTCTTCTTTTATCAGTGCACAAAGTTCTCACATCCTATCCTAAGACACATCGATTCTATTTCTCATCTTTTATTTTAAAATGTGGCCGGAGAGTCACTCTATTCACTGGCTTTTTTTTAGCATAGCACTTGTATCTGAAGATCCAATAGGTTCACAAGAACTCGTAAAACTCTTCTAAAGATCCACAACTGAAATGCTAGTGAAGTAAAGAGCCATTATGGCTATACTTCTCTGTGCAGTAGGCAGAGATGGTCCACTTAAGAGATCATTGGCAACACATGATTAGACTCTAAAACATGGAAAGCAATCACAGACAAGACACGGGTTTTATATAGCTAACCGAACCCACTCGAAGTACGATCTGGCTACAAACATGCAAATAACATCCATTTAATCAATAAAACACTCGCAAAGAGAAACTTCCAAAAAAAAAAAAATTTGCAACTTTCTCAGAGAAACTTCTCACCTTGCTGATCTTGGGCACTACCGACCTAAGCATGTACAGCCTATCATTCAGCTTCTTCCTCCGGCGCCGCTCAGCCATCAGATTCTTCGCCGGCAGCCCCTTCTTCTTCCCCTTCTGATCGCCGACTGTGACCGTGCTGTTTGCATTCGAATTGCACCCATCGTACTTCGAGTCCTCTGCAGCCTTCCCGCTCTCATTACCCTCATCGGTATCATAATTCAAGCCGGACCCATCAAAGCTCAATTCGTCATTGTTACCCTCATCAATCTTCTTCCTCTTCTTGTCCAATTCAGCCAACCTTGACACCGAGATCTCCAAATTCCCCAATTTCTCAGCCCCGTCGCCATTACTGCCGGACCCATTTCTCAGGGCAGCTCTCTTCTGAAACAGAGTCGGCTGAGCACCCGTCTGGGGGAAAACCTCAAGAGGCCTTAGGACCTTGGCAGACCTGTTCGCGAAAAGTGGGTTGCCAGGGCTCTCAAAGCCCTCGAACCCAGTCAGCCCGAACCCGCCGCCTGGCAATTGGGCTGAGCTTTCGGCGAGCGGGACGAGCCGAGGCGGCACTGGCAGCAGCTCGGAACCGGAGCCCAGCTCAGAGCCGCCCATCAGAAGCGACGCGCTCGAGGTCTGATTGCCCTGCACCGAGCCAAAAAGCCCGGCGGCGTCGCAGCCCAAATCGAAGCCATTGTCGAAGGAATTGTTCCAGGCGACGTTGAGGAGGGAGGTGAAGCAGTTCTTGGACGGCATGAACGGCTGGTGGGTCTGCGAGGGGTCGAGGACGAAGGCCTGCGACGGCGAGCAGGAGGAGGAGGAGTCCAGCGGGTGTGGGTGGTGGTGGTGGTGGTGGTGGAGGAGGAGGGCGCTGTCGGGAATCGGGGCGGAGGAGAACGACAGGTCGGCCATTTCCGGAGGAGGCTGCAGCTGCTGGAGCTGCTGCTGCTGCTGCTGCTGGGAATGGTGCGACGGGTTGGTCCCGAAGTAGGACCAGTCGGCGTCGAGCATGGACTTGAAGGTGGTGAGGGAAGCTCCCCCCATGGCGATGTCGTCGTCGTCGTCCTTGGGCTGCGCCGCTTCCCCGCCGTTGCCGGCGGCGGCGGCGGCGGCGTCTCTGGTCCAGGAGACTTCGTCTTCCTCGCCCAAGTCCTCCATCCAGGCGACGCCGCTGGGACCCAGAACCATCTCTCTGTTTCTGCTCACAGAGAGAGAGAGAGAGAGAGAGAGAGAGAGAGAGGGTGGGGGGAGCAGAGCAGAAGGAGAAGTACTAGTTCAAAAGGGCGGCGAGGGTTTCTACTGTCGCTTTCTGTTCTCGAGGGCGGAAGAGAGTGAAGAAAACGAGCGGGAGACGGTGATGCTTTTGCGGTTATCCGTCTGCGCTCCTCCCTCTCCCTCCCTCTCTCTCTCTCTCTCTCTCCCTCTCCCTCTCTCTTCTGTCTCTCTCTGTTGTTGTTTCTGCTGATGATGACGACGACGACGATGAACTGGTAAGAAGGGGGTGGGGAAGCTATATGGCTGTTTCTGTAAAGAGGAGGGAGTCCCTCTCGTGGACAGATTTACCCTCCCGATGCCGCCGTTATTACCCTGTCCCTCTGCCCTCCTCGTCCGACAGCTTGCTTCTTTGTTCTGGCTGGGGCCTGGCGAGCCGTTATTTCGGGCGAGTTTTAATTTCGGAAAATTGTCAAAAAATACCATCTCGAAATTTCCCCGAGGCCTATTGAAAACATTTCGAGATAATATTGTTCAACGTCGTCTCTAAACTTGAATTGTAAATTTAGAGGTCACATTGTACATTAAGTCAGGACAATTTGTATCATTTTCCTAAACATTTTCTCATCCCACACGCAGATGAAGACATGGTTTAATAGGGACCTGAAAATATCTGAACTCGAAACCTCATGCTATAATACAATGTGAGATTGAGTGAGATTATTATCAACTGTTTTAAAAGTTTAAGCTGTTAAATGAATGCGTGGTTTAATATTTGAATATCCTGCCCTAAGAGCTCGACTTGACTAGGCCCGCAAGCTCTGCCTCGCGTGGCTAGTGTGAGCCTCGTGATAGAGCTCGCAGGTCTCCCTTGGCCGTGTGGCATGGGAGACCAAACCACGACCTAATCGGGATGGATCTGAAGCCGGCTGCCCGAGGCTGGCAATAGGCCGCGAGGGTTTGGATTTGCAGGTTGTTTTTTCGGGGCGAGGGTAGTTTAGAAAGGAAAAATAGCGACTTTTATAACGAAATAGCAATATCATAATATAAGTTGATATGAAATGCCGAAACTCAAAATGTACCTTTTAGCTATTCAAAACTGGAGATGATATTTGATATATGTGAGCGCAATCTTCATATGGGCGTTTCCAATTATCTCCGATTTCTAAACTTTTCCTCTATAGTGGCGGAGCAAGTTTTAGATATTACTCGTAAAAAAATCATACCGATCACGTATCAACAAACAATGAGATTTTATAAAAATTGGTTTCGTCCACCCCATCAACTACAAACTCAAATTCTTTTAGATTTATAAATAATAGTTTTGTTCCATATTTCTCAAGAAAAACCAAAACAAATTCAACATGTCCCGTAAAGTCAACGGTCATGGAAGTCTCAACTCATGTTCAGTCGGGGTTTGGACAAGTCCCCAGCCGGCACAAAAATCCGTCGCTAGATTACATCGATTTATACGAGGAATGAGTGTTCTTGCGAGGACGGGAGATTAAAATAAACGTATGTTGGAATGAAATACTTAGTTCCGAAGTGGTCGAACATTGGAATTTGGAACTAGTTGGGACTCGAGATGGTTCGTTTTTGGTAACCCTATCCTATTTTTTTTAAAAAGCGAGTTTTCATTTTTTTTTTTTTGTAAAATAGAGTACGTACGTACATGTTCCCGTTTATTTAATCGTGCACATAAAATATTTTTATCTCCACATACATGTTCCCTAGGATATCGTTGTTGCTTTTGCTAAACCTATTATATTATTGTTATTAGTAACGAGAAACTCCTTTCATGAGATGAGATGCGAGCATAATTAGGTAACATTTGTTTTTCCTAAAATTCGTCAAATGGGTGTCGGTTCCCCCCCCCCCACAAGGAAACACTCCCACAATGAAGAACGAGCTCGGAATTTGAAAATATGGGAAACATGTAGTCCCGATACGATCGATCGGACGATTCACGACTTAGAAAGGAACGCGAATTGAGCTTAAGAGCGACCCGGAGCCAGAAGCGAACGGCAGAAGCTCAATACAAACTCGCAATAGCGAGGGTTTGGTAAAATAAGTAAAAGAAATAACGAAATAAGTAAAATCTTTTTCAAAATCATGAGCCAAACATACGCTAATCACAACTTGGCTTGCTTGATTTCCATAACATCGTATATTTACGGGATAATGATACAAATGATTCCTGAATTTTGGCTCAATGTGTAATGTAATCCATGAACTTTTAAAATTTCAGAAACCACATTATACATTTGGCTAAACATTCATGGACCACATTGCACATTGGGCTAAAATTTATCGACCATATTGAACAAATTAAAAGTTCATGTACCACATTGTACGTTGGGCCAAAGTTAAGGTACCATTCGTATTATTTCCCTATATTTACAAAGTCGATATCTTGCTCGATACGATCGTTGCCGTGCAAAGTAGGCGTCTCTCTCAAACTGGCCAATACCGCCTTCTTTTTTTTTTTTTTGTCATTTTTAGGCGTGCGACATACCATGTCAATTAGCTTTCAGCAAAAGCTGGCAATCTCTTCTTTTTGTCATTTTTGGGCGTGTAACCATGTCAAATTAGCTTTTAGGAAAAGCTCCAATGATGACCGGTCAACTGAATAAGGATCAATGGGTAAACGTGAGAAATTTTATTCTATGTGGTGGCTTTGGAGAGAGAGAGAGATTTCAAATTGGCAATTGCCATGAGGAAGAAGGAAGAGACTTCGAAACTGAAGAGAATAAAGCTTCTTTTTTCCCCTGTTTTTTGGGGGATGAAAGCAAAACGACCCACCCAAGTTTCTCGTGACTCCACTCCACCTCACCGCACCTACTCCTCCCCCCCCCATCAATCCCCATCTCTCTCTCTCTCTCTCTCTCTATCTATCTATCTATCAATGATGGTTGTACATTAAGCTTTACATGATTAATTAGAAACTGGGTTATTAATCGCAAATGGCATGGGGGGCACAGTACAACTTTATGTTGGGAAACTTTTGATAGGTCCGTGCCATGCTGTTGATGAAAGATGTACATATTTAGATGGGACACCCCTTATTTAGGCCCTGTTTATTGTCCCTACCATCATTCAGTGTTATGCCCAATTCGATATCAACCTTAATGTACCTAACATCGCTCTAAAGAAATTCGAACGACGAGCCCCGGTTCCTTCGTCTTTTTCACTTTCCTCTCTCGTTTCTGTCCAGACCACCGGCACCTCTCTCTCATTTACCACGTGCGAGCGAGCGTCGGTATTACCGGAAATGATTAGGGGGTGGTGCGATGGGGTCGAGTCTAGTCAATACGGTGCCGAGTTTTTTTTAACTTGACTCGACGCTCGAAATTCGGTTAATTTGTGCTCGATCGAAGTTTGCTTGACCTCGACTCTACCGGAAGTTTTAGATACCTTAGCTCGAACTCAGCTGAACTCGAGCACAACTTGGATCTCCAAAAAAACTTGAATAATGTGGTATATCGTAATTTTGAGGTTATTCCTCTCACCTTTTTCATTGGGAAGAATAATAGAACCTTGACCATGTTCGATTAATCAGGAGGGCGAGCCCCGTCGAGTTGAGTACGAGCTCGACTCGGCTATAAATACTCGAGCAGCTTGAGATTAATCCCAAATCAAACGAGTCGATCTCAAGCAGCCATCGAATCGAGCCCGGGCTATTCTCAGACGGTTAGACCGGATTTCACTCTTCGCAATGACCGATGTAGAAACTCGAGCGAAGGGAAGCGAGATCAAAAGTTCTAGAACTCCTATTAGCTTAGACAACGACGACACACACGAAAGCGTTCACGAAACTTCGTCCATAATCTACGCTCGACCCGCCATCGAATCCTGGCAAATGCATGCTCGAAACAATCGACAGCTCTCCCCCAACAAAAGCAACGGCGTGGAGAAGTTGGTACGCAAGAGCCGCAACTTGAAGGAGAAGACCGTGTACGGCGGTTCACTTCGTAGAGATAGAGAGAGAGAGAGAGAGAGAGTGAAATGGGGGATGATGATTAAGTCCCAGTCCTCTCTCTCTTCACGTGAAAATTGAATTTGCATTAGGGAGGGGAGGGGGAGGATAAGGATTAGAGTCGGACACGCGGCGGACATGCAGTCGACAGCCTCCTTTGCCCCGCTTTTCTCCGAGCTGTGTCAACAATGGCGGTTTCTTCTTCCTCCTCTTCTTCTTCTTCTTTTGTCCCCCGCCTCAGTGATTCTCGAGGCAAGGCGAACGTCGGACAGCAACGTTACAATTGCCTCGAACTTCGACAATTTGTGTAGCGCGGTTTAAGGAAAAGGAAAAAACACCTTTGGTTTGGTTGGTTTGGTGATGCCACACACATAGCATGATCGATGCATTTTAAACAAGTAAATTTGTAACCGGTCTTCAGATAAGCAGGTCGTATTCGATACTCGATATGGTATTTACTGTAATATATTGCTTTTCATGTGTTTAGCATTATTCGAAAGCACCGCGACATGAGGAGAAGCGGGTTCTACTCCCGATCTTTAAACTATTCTAACTTTGATTAGTTGGTCACAAATGGATACGCCGGTCGCTTTGAATTTTCGCTAAATTCGCATGCGGGTAATGTCGATACCGTACTATCGACATCCAAAATACATAATTAATGAAAAATATAACCATTCTTTTCTCTCTCTCTCACATAATTTAGGGGCACGAGCGCGAGAACTCGATCATGGAAGGCCTCTTACCACCATGGATTTGTTGCTTTCCTAAGCCTTTCAGCATAAGCATTTCTCCCTCGAAAGATAGACGTGAAAATTGTCCAAAAAGTCATAAACTTATTGCACTTTTGTCAATTTAGTCATAAACATTTCAAGTTTACCTATTGAGTCCTAAACATTTTCACTTCTTGCCAATTGAGTTCATCCGGCTAATTTTGGCTGCCCAAGGCTAACGTGGACGCCGGCTGGCGCCGGCCGGCCAAAATTAGCCGGATGGACTTAATTGGCAAGAAGTGAAAAAGATTTAGAACTGAATTAGCAAACTTAAAAGGTTTAGGACTGAATTGATAAAAGTGCAATAAGCTTAGGACTTCTTGGACAATTTTCCTAAAGATAAAAGCCATGGCATTGGACGAAAGCAGCATGAAATGAATTTGGACAGCTTGACCAACACCTGTTGATGAATGATGTTTCCTATTCCCTAACCTGGTGAGCAAGCAATTTGACC